GCATGTATCCATCCATCAGAGTCCTACGCCGGGACTTACGACCGCTGTTCACATTCCTCCAAAATCAGTCGCTAATCGCAGTGGCCATAAACCAAACGAGTCACCTTTTGCAGCTGCTAAAGCGAAGCAAGTTCGCGCACTTTGACTGACAGCCACACCGCTGCTGTCGCCGCAACGTCGGACTAAACTTTGGCTCCAACACTCTACGGCATCCAAAACTTATTAAGCAAATTGTCTGCCGCAGCGGCAGAGGCCTTGGGCCCCGCAGCTACTGCACGCAGCTGCCCTGCGGCTCATTCAATGATTCCTCCTAAATTATTTCGAGTGAAACGAATCGTGAGGAAATCTGGCAACGTTGGCCACAAAACAAAAGAAGCCACATCCACCCGACGGTTGCAAAAGCCTCTTGGGAAACTTGCGCGCGTGTGTGTGGGGTGGGGGGAGAGATTTGCGCATGGAAAGAGGCAATCAGCTCGGGCGGGCAGCGCGGGAAGGGCAAAGGTCAGGAGAGCGCCGTGACCCCCACGTGGCCCCCACGTGGCGGCGGCCGCGTGGGGGTCACGTGGGGGTCACGGCACGCGCGGGGCCCCGCGGGCTGCCGTGGGAGTTTGGCGCGACGGCGTTTTCCATTGCGCCTCTCGCGACACCAACATTCAGGTGCGCGAGGGGAAAAAAACATCGACTCGGCGGCATCTGTGAAAAAGAGCTTCATAGCTCATCGGATTCCTACGGCCTATGTGAAGATCTGATTCTGACATCGGCTGAAGGCAGCGGCACAGCGATTGTGGGTGTCCCGACACCATCCACGGTTTAGCGACGGTAAGACAATTCCACAATATTCAGAGTGATGTTTGAGTCCGCGTATTTTTTGGTTCCTTCAACAAGGTGACACAAATGCCGGTTGTGCCGACTACGGAGCCTTTGGCATGCACGGTAGCGCACACACAGCAAACTCATCGCTCTGAGATGAAGTTGGTGTGGGGTGTTGGCGAACTGAAACGACCCCATCCGCCACCTACCCAGACACCACCAGCTCCGTTGGCGAGGAGGGCGGCAGCGTCGCTGGCGGTGTCAGGCGAAGTGAAACGCGCACAACGACAACGCGTGCTGGAAAGGGGGAGAGGGGTGGTGTTGTTTTTGTGCGTCTATTTGATCGCCCTACGACTAACTTCATTATTAAACATAGACTGGAAAACACCTTGTAGAACCGCAAGGCTGAATCTCAAATTTATTGTTGCTTGTATTTACACGTTCATTAAAACGAATCGTCGCAATCCTTCAGCACGCTGGTATATCGGGTTGTGTAACCCACCTTGGAATGTCAATATAACTAAACTTTGCATCATTGAATGTGATCCTGTACGCGAGGCTTTTATAATACTCAATAAGTATAACCCGTAAAAACAAAGTTTTTCACTATAAATCCTTTATATGCGTGGCGGCTAGAGTCCTCTCGTCCTCTGGCTTGAGATGGCTGCCACCTATGGGTCAGATGATTGTCTGCCAGTATTAAGCAACTGGTAATTAAATATTTAATTTGTTTTCCCTAAACAGTGTAAAATTTTGGAGAAAATTTTTTCACGAACATTAATTGTCTCGCACAACGAGTCTGTGTGCAAAATGTCAGCTCGATTGGATCACGGGAAGTGGGTTAAAAAACGACCGAAAGATTTGCACGGTCGTAAGCAAGCAAGCACGCAAGCACGCAAGCGAACTTAATATAAAGGATTTAAAAAGTGGGTGACGACTGAAGCGCGGACTTGTAATTTGCGATGGGAACTGTGTCACAGTGCGGACTGCGAGCGACATTCGGCAGAACGTTCCCTGCTGTGCCGATTGTGCCGCCTGCCAGGCCAACTTTCATGTGACCTGTCCTAGGTCACGGCGTCTGACAGATAACACGATACACGCACACAGTACCTATATATATATGTGTGTGTGCGACCAGACAAAGAGTGATAAAGATCGGCACCGGTTGAAGCAGGAGCGCGTGAACATTGGCAGATTCAACTTCTGAGTAGCTGCCAACCCAGGGGTGAGGATTCGCATTAATCCCGTTCTGCCACGGTCCTGCCATCTGTCCTCACTTTACATAAACAAACAGGATTCTTCCCAAATGGTTGTACAATCACAACCGCTCCGCACCTCCGATTAGCACGGTTGGCTCCGTACGGCACGAAAGAAGTTCAACAAAGATACAAGTACAGCTGGGACGCTTCTGTGATGTAATGGTTAGCACACTGAACTTGTAATCCAGAGGTCACTGGTTTGATCTCCTGGCACAGCAGTTGAGATGATGGGGCAAGTCTCTTACCCCCTCCCCTCTCTCTGTCTACCAAGAACTGCAAATGGGATGGGTACAACACAGGCGATCGCCAGGTCGCATGCGGGAGTGGGGGGTAACGTGCGGCTACTCCTACTTCTTCCTAGATGTCTGGCCAGCATAGAAGATGAAGCCAAAATCGTCTCCAGCAGAGTCTCTTCCACCAGCAGTGGTGCGAATAAGAAATTGCAGGGCTCCACCTCTACATTCACATCTCCAGTTTGCATTTGTCCTTGTGGATACAATCGCCAAAACTCATCGTCATCATCATCCTGGTGACTGGCTCCATTGTTGGTGACGGAGACATGGGCATTTTGTCACCGAAAATCACACGAGAAAAAGAAACCCATTCACCAGCACGTGAATCACACCGAGTATTTTTTGGAATTAGGCATCAATGGACTTCTGCCACCTCCAGATGAATGAAGACCGATGAGTTTGCGACTCGTAAACCTTTGACGTTTTTACGGTGCCCGACTGCTGTTCAGGTCAAGTGACGAATGCCGTTCTCGCATTCTTGTAAACCTCAGCACCATCACATAGAAGATTGGACACGTGGCTCACCGGAGTCCCGTGGGGAGGACAATACCCGATACGGAACGTCTGACTGCCGCGGCTGCGGACATCAAAACGTCAGAATCCGCTCGCGAGGAGCGCAGGTGATGCCTCTCCTCTGCTCCGTGGAAACAAAACAAACCAAGCACCTGGTATTCTGCGAACCTCACAGCACGGCGCTGTCCAGTAAATAGCAGCGGTGCGCAATCGTCGCAGTGCCCCCCTTTGAGTTGGGTCACCCGGGTGGCGCAGAGGTCAGAGCGCTCCACTCGCCCCGCCCGAGATGCCGGGGTTGGACGCGAGGTTCAGCCACGCGTGATCAAACCGGGTTCCCGAGGTGTAGCGAGTTCTTGGTCTGAAGTCTGGTAATCGATGACTGGTTCTGCCCTAAATGTGGCCAAATTGAGCGAGGATTGTTATATGTTTGACTGTCAGCAGAGCATGTGAAATAGCGCGGTCCTCAATGAGAGATCCGAATCTATTCGTCCTCTCATGACAAGACACCAATCGCACAAACTGGATAAATTGTGAAAGGATGACAATCGAATTATCAGCCATGTTCAATTCACTGCTGGATGAAGGTATCCTGGTCAGGAAGGAATAGTTCTAGAGTGTTTTAAGTTTAGTTCCTGGCAGTTTTCAAGCATATGACTAATGACCAATATTTCCTCAGATCTGTGCAGACCTCTCAGTGTTTTCTCCCCTCGTATGCCAGTTTTGTGTTCTCCGGGTTCTCCGGTTCCCTGTCGTACGAAGCCAAACTCTCATCAGTGGGATTAGCCAAACGTCCCAAATGCAGCATCCTTCTGGAATTTCTTTCTAAACTGAATGAGGCTATTCTGTACGTACGACACGGATCATTATAATTATGAAATTATTATTATTAATATAATCATTACACAACTGATGTATTTTTGCGTATTACAAGATATGTAGTGCCACAGTGCGGCGCTGATGCCAGTGGCGGTGAAGGTGCTGGAGGAGGAGAGTGCGCGCGGTTGTTGGCGCCACGAGGCCCGAGGGGTGGGGGGTTCGACGGCATTGGCTGCACCATCGGCTTGAGACCCACTGATGGGGAAAATATTTTTTCCACGAATCTCGTAAGAACTTAACTCAGAGGGCCAAGGCGAGGCATTGAAAATACACCACTGTACTGCGCAGGAAGCTCCCGGCACTTGAGGGCGAACCAGGGCGAACCAGCGCATACCGCGGATACCGTGGATAACGCGGATACCGTGGGTACCGTGGACACCGCGGATACCGTGATTACCGTGCCGAACAACGCGCAGACCATGAGACGGACTTCTCTCGACCAGGGGTCGGCAACCTGTGGCTGCGGAGCCGCATGCAGCTCTGGACGGACCGCTTCGTGACGTGATGTACGTGTGTATGTATGTTGCTGGGTCATGTAGCCCGCATGCCCAGCCACCGCATGCCTAAACAGCTTTTGTTCGGCCAGATCGAGGGGGCTAAACGGGCGCGGCACGGGCTAGAGAAGAGATGGAGTGATGTGGTACAGGAGGATGTAGAGCTGAGTGGACTTGCCGATGACTGGTACCAGCAGGTGTCAAGATCGGCCTCTGTGGAGGAGGCTCGTGAAGGACGCTGCTACTGCTGCTACTGGGCAGTTGGAGGCAGTCGCCCTCCAACAACAACGGAGGGTGGAGGAGCGACGCTCACAACAACGAGCGGAGCACCTGGTGGCTAAAGCACAGCAACTTGGCACAGTAGGGGGCACAGGTGGTGCCTCATCAGCCAGTCGTCTCAGTCAGTCGACCTGTGGCATCTGGGTCTGCCCCGTGACCTCCTGCCAGCGGGCGTTCGACACTTCACGTGGCCTCAAGGTGCACGTAGCCTGGCACAAGCGTCGTGGTGACGTCACCGCCACTTAGTGTGTGTGTGTATTCACACGCATTGCAGAGCTTTGAAATATTGAGTTTTGTACCAAATTCGAAAATAATGGCTCTTCTTGTTATTGTGATTGCCGGCGCCTGCTCGATATGGACAAAAACAATCATCATCACGGCCTTAAAATGTTTTTTGTTGAAATAATCTTAAGAGAGAAAATAATTAATCAGCAAAAAAAAACCAGCAAAAGATTAAAAAGTCGATGAACTTCGTGTTTTGTAAAACCGTGGTTTTTATTGCGAGCCTGTTTTTGCCAGAGAAAAATCTTTGGCTTAATTCCCTTGATTACCCAATATATACAGATGATGTCTCCCAGTCGGACGATGTTCACTTAAATACAAAGTAAAAGGTTTAAGCCTTAGCGAATAAAACCCACAAAAAAACCTCCAATTATATTATAAGGTATACAGTTAGTAACACATTCTCTCATCAATGAATTATTGCACTATCAACTTTCTTTAAATTACAAAAAAAAGCAGACACCTCTATTTGGACTTTGGCCAGTATTTACTTAAAATAAGCAATGTAAGTATATAATACAGTATATACTGTGTAATAGTCAATCAGCCACAGGGTGCCCACAATCTATTCCAGTGTTGATTGTAGTTGTATATCTCTTCCTTCAGCTGGTAGTCGTGACCAGCGGAATGCGTGATAAAGGAGCCAACGACGAATTCACAAAATGTAGCTTGGTCTCGGAGCTTTGGGATAAAACAAAAATGATTCGACATTATTTACCGTGATGACATCACGGATGCGCAAGTAAAACAAACTAAATTATGAGTGACGACAGTATTTGATTTACTCCACAAAAAAAGAACAACACCGCGTCGGTGGCAAGGAGTGCGTCTATGGGTTTGGGACGCGACGCTTCAGTCGGCGGCGTCGGGACGCGAGGAGCTGCTGCAGCGCGGCTCCGAAGCAGCGCACCACCACCGCCACCACCACCACCGCCACCACCACCACCGCCACCACCGCCACCGCCGCCACCGCCACCACCGCCACCACCGATGCCGCTACCACCGATGCCGCCACCACCGCCGCCACCGCCGCCGCGTCCGCACTGCCACGTCGCGCACCCCCACGACAAGTCAGGGAGGCCTGCGCCTTTTAAAGTGTCGCAAAAGCAAAGTCCGGTAATTCTTTTCACATTTTAGCATTTATTTACGATTAAAAAACTTTATTCAAAATAAAATTTGTGGGTTTCTCTTCCCCCCCTGTCAGAAGAGTGAATCGCCGTGAGCCACACGGCGAGACGGAACCTGCTTCTTGTTGAGAGCGACTGTTTTTGTTGATCAAGGTTGCTGTGCACAGGCTCAAAGGCCCAAACAGCATTGCTGAAGATCGAATAGATCAGAGTTAATACGACTCTCGAATTCAGCAAGATTGTACAAACTTTGGTTGAACACGGTAGGCATGAGACGAAACTGTCAATCCGGTAGACAGAGCCCTCGACGTGAGAGGAGGAATCGCGGAGTGAAGGTCATGGGGAACGGTGACCATGGCATCGGTTCCGATACGGAGAGGCACCCAAGACGGGCCAGCGATTGTGGGCTCCCAGCCACGTTTGATGGCACCAATTTGTGTCTCCGGTAAATATGCAAAGGTTAACGAGGGTTACTAAATTCCCTCCGTTTTTGTCAGCGCTACTCATTAAGCAGGTTCAACGACTCAAAGGGTCCAAGGCTCGGAGTAAGTGCTTGTAAGTGTTTCGGGGGATTTTTTGGTAACATTTTAATTAAGTGCCATATGTTTAAAATCCACATTCCTTGCAAAATCACAATTGTTATAAGGCAGGGACAATTTTTTTAAGTCCATATGATTTTATACGTTTGAGTTTTTTTTGTGAATATATTAAATCAACTTTGCGTTCCGTGTTAAACCCCCGGGTTTGAGTGTTTGCATTAAAATGTGTGTTATGTACAGCGCTTTAAATAAAATGGGCCTCTTTTGATTATACCTCTTATTCTGTCACCTGTGAATATGTTAAAGGTCAAGGACAACAGTTCCAACATCAGAGAACCCCACTCCCATGTTTGGTGCTTCCAACACATCTATAAAAACAACCCGAGCAATATTCTAGTGGTCTTTCGGTAAAGTCATGTGAAGTGACGTTACGTGACTTTACCGAAAGACCCAAAGAGTATGAATTCCTGCAGTCACAAAAGCTTCAAGTCAAGATTTCACCCGATAAACTGCACCACCGAGAGGGGACCTCCGCCAGTGAGACCTTTCACCCACTGTGAGAGTGAAACACGGGTGCGGTCTTCTCTCTCTCCGCTCACGTTACCAAGGCCTCAATCTCTCAGCAGAACGCCGAGACGCACACACGCACATAACTGTCCCCGTGTGAGAAGCGGAGTCGCAAGCTGTCCGCCTCGCTCTCAAAACGTGAGCGGTGGTTTTCAGTCGCTTTCAACAGCCGTGGGTTTATGTGTTTTCTGTTTTTGTTTGTTTCCTGCCAGACTTCAATCTCCCAGGCCACGGGGAGGAGGGAGGGGGGCAGACGTCACAGCGGAACCACGCTCTTCCCTGAGTGTGCTGAGCAGGTGTGGATGTTCCTCCTCCTCGTTGAGGCATCGTGGGTTATTCGTGGAGGAACTCGGAGGTATTCATGACGCAAGGTACACAGTGCATTACCTAGTAGCCCTTCAAACGACGACGCCTGCGTGTTTGTGCGCGAGGCGCGCTCGTGCACACACATTCACCTGCGGCACCCGTTCGACCAGTAATGACGCTCTGTGAAAAGCGTTACTTCTTCTGTCGCGGAGATAAGGCAACGAGTATACAAAAATGTAAAAAAAAACATAACATGAGATATTTAAAGGCTAACCGTTTAAAAATAAAATGGTCCAAAACCATACCCGCTCTAAATAATTCACACCCCTTTCCCAAATCAAATATATTAATGCTGTTTACAAACAACCACCAACCAGAAATGCGGTTTACACATTTAAATCCCAAAAAATGTCCAAAAAAAGTTTTTTTTTACATTTTATATACTTTTGTTCCCTAATGGAATGGTTTGTACACTTCACACCTTTAGTTTAAATTTTAAATAACGAAGTTATATTACAAGACACCCTTGTATCTTCCCGAGGAGTCACTGTGTGTTTAGGGAGCCCAGACAGACTCATTCTGCACTTCTGGTGGCCCATGGGACAGCCAGCTGAGTGGCCCATGGGACAGCCAGCTGTGTAGCCCATGTGGCAAACAGCCGACTGGCCCACTGTGTGGGCAGCTGTGCGACTGACAGGACAGCGAGCTGCATTGCTGGCTGTGTGGCCAGCTTGGTGGCCGACTGGAATAGAAAGGTAACTTCCTGAACCACCCTGAGCCAATCGTGTACATCACGACTGCCTAGTAACAGCACTTCTGGTGTAATCTTTTTAACTGCACAAACTATTCTCCTTATTTTTAACAATCGACAACAACCGCAACAGCGATTATAAATTAACGATGTGGAAACTGCCGATGTACAGGGGGCTTTAGGAATGTAGCCAGTAGTTGTAGCCCAACAGTGCGAGCGAACTATATAATCGCGGGTTGCGACGGCACGGATTTAAGGCACTGTTCGCCACCGGTGCTATCGCTGCGGCGTTCTGGTGATGTGGGAATCAAGTCCTGGGTCAGAGACGATCGTGGTGCTAGGGCACTCAGCAAAGCCATTTCTGGGTGCGTCACATTGACTACGCACACTGTACGATGGCCAAGTGGCATTACGTACTTATTTTCAAGTTGGATGAAATCATTAAGGAAATAAACTAATTACTATTATTTTAATAGTATAATTTTAATTATTTTATTTGATAAGGATCTGAGTTGGCACTGATATTTGGTGCACCTCTATTTTAACCTGACTCCCCTTGAGCTACTTGGGGGCGGTAAACATTTTCTGAGTTTGCTTATTCTTAGCAACACCACTAGTCAAGGACTGATAAAGAAAATATATACATTATATCAATCAAACGTAATCTTCATTTTTTTAAAGCTATTTGCTGCACACAACAGCCGTTTGGGTTGCTTCGTACGCAAGCAAATTACTTTGGGAATCGTGCGTACGAAGACGACAAATATTGTTTGGTGGCAGCAAATCTGCCTGACGTGCCGTCCAGCCGGTGAGCGGAATGGTGACTCGAGTTGGTCCACACAAAGTCCGTCTGAGGCCCTCTCTTACACAGAGGCCAATGGAGGCCCGAGGGAGGAAGGCCTGCACAGTATAAAAGGTGCTCAACAGGTGGACAAAATTCTGGCACTAAAAACTACAGTACTTGATTACCAGGTGATCATCCTCAAGGTCAAAGTCAGGGTTGGTTGAGAAAAGCCCTCTAAGTTTGGCCCAAATGCTGGTACAGTCCACCGACTACGCAATCAGGCAGGAGAATGTGGAAGGAAACGCGTGCAACAAATTGCAGCTGGGATGAGCGGATTCATCGATTTAAAAAATTGTAATCAGCTTCTCTTTTGTGGTCGATTACAGAGGCCCTTTTACAAAGCTCAACCAGCCCCGAAATCCTGCCTTCCAAAGGCACGAATCCCTCTAAAAGCCACGGCCAGCGTGACGCGGTTGATGGCCCTGAGGCCTTCGCCATGCCCCGCCAATCACCTCCCGTCCAGAGGCACACGTGCATACTTTTTTCCCCATGAGCCAAAGTAATTACGCCAAAATGGGGAGAGTAATCGATTTCGAAAATAATTTGATATCCCAGCTTAACAGAAGAAAATAACAACGATAATTATAAGCCTACTGATAGGTAATACACTTCTGTACCAGTTATTATTCTGAAGGGATGTGTGCAACTATTGTGATCACAGCATTTTTTTTAATGCAGCTCATTCTACGCTTACCACAGAAGCACCATAAGGGTTTCGTGTTTGTCAACTTTTGGAGGGAAAATACGACTTGCATTAACACCTAAGATACGTCCGGATGCAAGGAGCCATTTTGTGAAGAGGGATCCAATAAGTGTAAATTGAACATTTTAAGGAGCAGAATTTACAGGATTTTTTGAGTAGTGCTGATTGAGTCAAATGTAACCAATTCGGTCTAACAAACTTATTTAACGTGAAACCAATCCTTTAGGCGTTAGGCATTTTGGCATGATATTTTCAAATATCCATTACCATTTAGCTCGCACTGCATCCTCACCTGCAGCATCAGCAACTCCTAAGCGATATCACAACACAAAAACAGTGGTGAACGACGTCACATTGACGTCAAGAACAGTAGCAATCAAATCAGTATATATTATTTTCTTTTACAAATGGAAAATGCATTTCTAAAATAAAGAATAATCAACTTTTGTTTTGGTCGACGTACCTTCATGGTCAACAATTGCCAATGGCAATTGTGCAACGCAACGGGCGCTAACGGATTGTGCTTTGTGAGATTGTCAGCACGCGCGCATCCGAGTTGGTCACTCGCTTTGCCCTAAAAACGAGCTACGACGCCTGTGCACCACCACAGGCAAGAGCACGGACAGTCCCGACAACAGCCTCTCAGGCCAACGATATGAAAGTACCAAACAACGATTAAAACGTAAAAAACCCACCAGAGACATTGCGCTGATTTAAGTAATCTGCAACAACATAAAACAGTTACCTGAATTTTACAATCGACCAGGATACATTTTTTTCATTCCAGTAAAAAGGAAACTTCTTGCCTCAAATTCTCCTCGCCAACAGGCCTGCACGGTTCATCCACTCGCCACCTCATCTTGCCAGTCCCGAACAAACTCCTTCACCAAAAGAAAAAGACGACAACAACACCAACGACCTCCTCCTCCCTCCTCCTCCTCCTCACGCTGTCTTCGTCGCCGTCAGTCGAGTGAGCGCGAGTGCTCCCCACGCACGATGTGCGACGAGAACTCGTAGCGGTCGCGGCTCAGGTGTCCGCACACGTTGCACTCGAGCGGCTCGCGGTAGCCGTGGCAGCCCATGTGGATGGTGTACATGACGTGGTCGAGGAACAGCACCTCGCAGTGCGTGCAGCGGTAGCTGCGCACCGCCGTGCCGTCCGGGCGGAACACGCGGAACACGTCGCGGTCGCGCCGCCGCTGGGGCCTGCGCTGCTGCTTGGCCCCCTCCTCCTCGTCCTTCATCTCCTGCACGCCATTCCTGTCGCCTGCCAGGCTGCCGTCCTCGTCCGTCGACTCCTGCCCGCTGTTGTTGTTGTTGTTGAAGGCTCCGCCGCTGTTGTTGTTGTTTTCGCCGTTGTCGGGCGAGGACGCGTCGACGGCGGCTGCCGACGCAGCGGCGGCCGCGGCCGCCGCCGCCGCGCGGCTCGAAGATTTTGTCTGGAAGCACAGCCCCTCGGCGATGCCGCCGTGTCCGTCGACAGCGCCGCCGCGGTTGATCGGAGTGTTGGACCGTGGAGGGAGCGGCAACGGCAGGCCGTACGGTTGGCACACCATGCCGGCGTAGGGGCCGTGCGACAGGTCGCCCGCCAGTCCGCTCGCGCCCAGGTAGGACATGATCAGCGGCGGCACCAGCTCCTGTTCCTTGGGGAACGGCTGCGGGGCAGGGATGCGCACGTCGGGGCCGCCGCTCGACCGCCAGTGCTTTTCGACTGCGGGACGGGGGGACGACACGCGGGGCGAGGGGCGACACGGCGTCAGGCGCGACGTCAAAGCGCTGCTGTCGTTGTAGCTCTCGCTCACTTTTAGCGGCGAACCGATGTTATATAAAATCATCGCCATCGGCCACAATCCATCCGCCCTTGGCTTCAGATCTCATCGTTAGTTTCGACCACCGGCCATCATCTCATCTAGCGATGTGATCTGTCCAACGCCACGTAACTTGCGAGCGGTAATTATTCTACAATTCATGTTCCTCCCTGTCACTTGGTGTAATTCCAAGCACGCAGCTCTCTACGCTTGCTTGTACACTCTTCAGATTTGTCTTTGGCACCGTCCATATTTTCATCCATGTATCATAGGTTTTATAAAACGCTGAGAATATTTTTCTAATTTTCATAAACTGAACACCACCTTGCAATGAAAAAGAAAAAAAATACGCTAACATTAGGGCAACAGAGATTGTATATTTGTTTGTCAGCAATAAGTCTGCATTTTTTCTGACGGTGATAGCGTCAAAAGTTTGCACAACGCATTTCTCCGATGCTAACAACGCAGCCCCTGGAATTATATTTGTATTAAGTAATGCTAAAGTAATGAGCGCCACGGTAGTGATGATGTAAATTGTACTATTTAAACTAAATTAATCTAAAGCAAAACAAATTAAAATACAAATATTAGGCCACGAATTATAATGCTTCTCTCTCCATGGTAATAAAGTAACGTGATGATGTTTTTTGTCCTCTTGCTCTTTTAATTATATATTGCACATCTGTTTGTGGCACAGACTAGCGTAATCTGTGTGCAGACGGTGGGAATGGCAGCTTTGGGAGCGCCGTTAGGGATCAGGGTCCCCGGCAATTTCTACATTTAAATGGATATAATGACACCTTAGGCCGAAATGATGACTACGTTCCGAGGGCAGCTTTATACACTCCAGACATTACGCAAGTGCCAAAAAAACGCACTTACAAATTCCAAAGTAACAGGATTTGCTCTGCCTTTCCACGCACGAGCTGTGCGATCCAAACGGAAGCACGCATTAGAGGCCGTGCCGTGGTGTCAAACGCCACGGGAACGGCGCTGATTTGACCGTTAACCCATCCGTTCAAGGGACGACAACAATGCCCGCTTGGAAAAGCCGCGCGATAAAAATGTGAGATGAAGGACGTTTGATGGCCAGCGGCAGGAGACGGCGACCGCACGGGTAATGGGGGCTCGGCGGGGAGGTCACCGGGAGGTCACGGCGGCACCTCACACGTGACGTCGCGTGTTAGACGGGGCCTGGTGTCGTGCGCTCTACGCGTCCCCCACTATATCCATCGCGTGCCACGGCCCAATGCGCATCTTGCTCTACGGTCCAAAGACCTCCACGTCACCAACCAGCACTAACCAGCATGGTCAAAAGGCTGTGAATTATTATTATTTTATTATCTATGAATCTTATATGCTTCTTAACATCTCTATTTATCCATAAATGTCTGAATCAGCACATCCGGGTATGCCGAGAGATCACCCACAAATAGAAGGGGACAACCCGAAAAGATTTCCCCTTTACTACATCCCAGGTCACATCATGCCACGCCACACCACCCTGCTGAGTGTCACACTGTACCACGCCACGCCACGCTGCCGAGCGCCACGCTCTTCCACGACTCACCGATGAATTTCTGCGGCGTGAAGCTTTTGCGCTTGCCCAGGTTGGAGGCGGGAGTGCGGTCTGCAGGCGCAGCGCCGCCATGCTCCGGCTCCTGCACCGACTCGGCTCCGCGGCCGCGTCCTTCCTGCGCAGGGCGGCTCTCGGCGTCTGGGAAAGGCCCCCGGCGTGAGAGCGGCACACAGGATCCAGAATCCACTCGTCAGCCACGACGCGATGCCAAAGGGGACGGCCGCCGTGGCCCACAGGGGACGACGCCGCGTCAGAGGTGCTGCCGCCACTGCCGAGGCGGCCTGGGTTCGACCCAGGGGGTTTTAAATGCGCGAGATCCAACAACCGGATTCCCAAAAGGTGTCAAGTCAACGACGCGGGGGCCCCTGGTGGGCATTTGTGCTGCTTGTGGCCACATTCGTGAACCGGGAACACCCCCCCCCCACTCCTCTTATTTCAGGCGTTTATTCAAGCTGAATTTTATTATAATTTGCTGCCCTTTGCCAATTCGGCTGACACAGAGAGAGAAATTAAAACACATCGCGAGGCTGGGTTGGTGATACCTGCGCCAGTGAGGCAAAGGATTCCCGTGGAACTGTTGTGCTTCTATTGCTGCCAATCAACGTGACACGTCCGGGACACATTAACACAATCATCTTTCTATTCATAGAGCGCCTTTCATCAAGAGTCCCAAAGTGCTGCACAAGACAAGCAGACGAGAAAAACGCATGAAACTAAATCTATGATATGCTAATATAATTTAAAAAAAAGTAACAGACATTTGCTGAATTACCTAAAAGTTGAAAAAACTTTTGGTTAAACCATACATGTATGATACGTACCAATTACTCACAAATTATTTTTTTAAACTGCAAGAGAAAACGGTTATGAAAATAAAATAATGGAAGAATAATCCTCAAGTGACCACAGATCGCAGGTGCGGAATCCTGATTGACAATCACCCGGTACGTGTCCCTCTGCACTGTTCCGTGTGAGCCGCACACAAGCCACCGACCATCTGGCATTTATTCATTTGCTCATTTGTTGAATTCCCCCAGGAAAGCCTCGCCGAGTCTCAAGATCGTGCTATGAGGCTCCTGCTCTCACACGTTTGACCGACTCCTGTTTTCAGGACCGTTGTGCCCATGAGAGGAAATCCATGCGATGCGAGGGGACAGCACCCACTGGCCCCCAAGCAACGATTCATGAACAGACTCGCCGCTGTCCCCTGGCTACCTTCACAGCCCGGCAGGGGTTTCTGGGAGTGTTACAAATCTCTGTGCCAGGCGTGCGCCGTACGGCACGTGCGTAGACGTGCCGCGCGCTACAGGAGCCAGCGCGTGTGCGGCGAGTCTCTGCTCCACGCGAATTCCCTCGCCCATCGGGAGACCTTGAAGGGGGCCGTGAAACGTCGATTTGTTTGACGACCATGACTCAAACAGGCGGCGTCATTCTACACAACGGCCGTGGGTTTTGTTGAGCTCACCTGGTCAACACCACGGATGCACAACAGAGAACGTCCACAACACGACAACCGTGAGACGTAGAGACCACCGCTACCGTTCTTGTCGTTGCCTTTGTATTTGATTTTGTCTGCGGTGTGCGGTGTGGGGTGCAGAGTTTGGTTTTATTTATTTGGTCGGAGAAAGAATAGTGCCGCATTCCATTTAGGGTTCACCTAATGAGAGCTATTCATAGGCACTGTCAGTGTCGCTCTGTCTCGTGGCCTTTGTCAACGTCAGGCTGTCGTGCCCGGGCTTGTCCATTGTACAACGCGTCGGCGGCGACTCTCCAGGCCCACAGCTCCCAGCCCCCTGCGAAGGGCGCGCGGCGGACGGCTGCGGATGTTTCACTTCGCCGCAAAGTCACGCGTCGCGGTGTTGTTTGCGGTCGCACGTCACTCGTCTCGTGACGCCCATAAATTGCGCGCCGTGTAAAATTAAGGTGCGCGGTGACCGGGTGACTGTCGATTGGGCGGTTGCTAAGTTGACCGACTAATTGATTACGCCCGTGTCTCATCGCAAATGCCCGCAAGTGGACGAGCGGCGGCTTGAATGATGGCACCCGGCCGAGGTCCGTGGTTTGGCGCTATCGCCGCTGCTGCCGAAATGAGGTTGGACGGCGCCACAAGTGTTTACATGGACCTGGTTGCATTTGTGGTGCCCAGGGGCAACGTGAAGCTGCTGGTATGGTCATGACGTGTCTCCGCGCGACCGTTGCTAATCAAACTTTTGAACAAATAGAAACTGTATTCTCCAGATCATAAGAGGCTCTGGAAAATAACATGTACCCCAAACTTGTGCCCGGTTTCAACAAAGTTATACAAATCTGGTCACACGCACACACACAAGCACCTACCGGGTCAGAAGACGCACCCACAACTTTAAAATTCAAGGGAATAAAGTGCGTCACACAATCCAGAGAACAAAATTGGCACGTCGTTAAACGCTTTGACACCACGTGACAATTTAATATGTTTGGCTGTGTCTTGTGGTGGAGGGTTCTAATGGCAGAGATTTGGTCTCAGATCATTACGGGGCCTGACCCAAAAGTCCCATCATGAATCACGGTGGCACCGATGATCCACATTGAGAGAGCGGTGTCATGGGGAAAAGTTAATAGCCCACATTCTCTGCATTATAACACACACTGTGTTCAACAGGGTATTTAAAGTAGAAGTTGTGGGTGCGTCTTGTGATCCGGTAGGTGCTTGTGGGTGCGTGTGTGACCAGATTTGTAAAACTTTGTTGACACCGGGCACAAGTTTGGGGTGTCCTCTAACTTTGCAGAGTCATACAATCCAGAGAACGGGGCTTGTGTTTTAAAGGCTGTGCCGCATCCACTGGGCTTTGCCTGCTGCCAATGCCCACTCGCGGGGTGCTGCACCTGTATTACCCTTAGCTGCTGAGATAATCCATCTGCTGGGTGGCTGCTGGTGATTGGACAAGAGTTCAATCGACGGCCCGCAGCGGCCTTACTTCTTGGAAATTCAGGGTCACCCTGCAGGAACTTTGAAGTCGTTTTTTTTACACCGAGGTGATGGGATCGCCTGGGGGGAGCGGCTACGCGTGCGTGGGAATGTGGCCACGTGTGTGATACAAAAAACTCAACCGGCTCTGGCAGACTGAGCCGGAAAACATCGTGCCGCCGCCACCGCCACCAGAGCATCGGCTTACCAGGAGAACCAGGTATAAGGGTGTACGTGCGTGTGTAAAGATGCGTCAAATTAATATCAGTGCTTTCACAGCTCTTCACTGTGTGGTCAGGTTGCACCACGTGTTTTCGTTCGGAACAATGTCCGACATTTAGCTTCACATTGCCGGGGACTTTCATGATAACAAACAGATGCCAGCTGCCAGGCACTGTCGTGATGTCACAATGTCCCTGTGCCAGGCTAGGTGTACTTTGAGTTGACATAGCATGGCTAAAGCTCACTGATAGGATGTCTCAGGACAGACAAAAGTGTTGTGAGTCAACAGACCCGGGTGAATTATTTCCTTCCCATTCTACCAGACAAAGATCAAACACCCCCCTCGGCAGCCATTCAGACTTGGGGCACGAGCTGCGAGCACCCATTTAAGGCCGGCATGTGCGTGAGACCTGCGACTCCACCGCCACTGATATTCACACATTGCACTCACTCCTCGTTTAAGGCTCAGTCAACCTAAAAGATGCCCGAGGCAAGTTTTGACGCCACTAGCCACCGACGTTAGCCGAGGCCAGGACCTGAAATCAAGTCAAGGTTGTAGTTTTTTTTAACAAGGTGAGAAATCAAGAGACCCAAATGGGTCTAATTTGGAGAATGACCTGGTGCTCCTCAACTCAACCGGAAACACCAGCTACTGGGGCTCCGCAGTGCGCCGTGCGGACCCACGCTATTGCTTACCCTGTAGTGAGCACAACACACGAAGACGCGCGCACAGACGGCAAAACAAACCTCCTGTGCCTTAAGGAAGCATGCGCAGAATGCATTTCGTCATTAATCTGGGCTGACATCTCTGAATTCCTGACAAGCATAAAAACTCCCCCCTCCCGCCCCCGCCCTTTCGCACACCGTCCACCGTGGACACGTGACCCTGTGAGCGTCACGGCGAGCGAGATTCTGGCATCCCAACTTTGGGCTCCAGCGTCGCGAGCTCTGCAAGTGACGCAGTCATAGCGAATTCAGTGATTATAAAACCATCAGAAACAGGACGGAAGACGTGAAACAGCACAAAACACGTGCTGGCTGGAAACAAATATGGCCACACGTTCAGCTCGTTTTTCGGCAGGTGGTCCCGAGACAAGGCTGATAGCATTGGACATGCAGTGTGGTGGTTACATGGTATGCATGCACAGCATCATGCGAGTTGTGCCTTCCTGCTGTTTTTGAGCGCAGCAGCTTTGCGTGTTGCTATTTCTAATCATCTGGTCCAGCAGGGCGTTGACGTGGCCCGGCGGTAGCGCCTTCACCGCTTGCTATGGAGCTTCACGGTTCGAATCCAGCAGCCGCCCTAGTTAATAGTGCGGTGGGTGTATTAAGCGTAAAGTGACGTGCGCCGTCTGCTTCACAGTGGACGTTAAAGATCTCCTGACGTCATTCGGAACGAGTAGAAGGCCATTGTGTGCCGGCGTCACGGTCCAAATTTGCCAAATGAGAAAAGTTTCACCGGGATTACACGTAGCAGCATCGTCGCTTTCGACTGTAACTATCGCAAACAATGTCTGTGAAAAGTAGCGCCTTCATGATAGCCTTGCACTGTAACAATGGCGTGATAATTACCAAATGAACTAAATCATTCATTGTTATTATTGTTGCGCTGAAACTGCCCAGGGCGGATCCCTGTCTGGTGGAGTGGCACTCACGAGGCCCAGGTTCCTCTTCTCATGGCCCCATCGGCCAATGTGAGTCACGGCAACGAACACAGCCCCTGTCAAGGTGCTTTTGTGAATATCGTCTCATAGTGACCCGATTCTATCAATGAATGGCCAAGGTCAAGAGGTCATCACACCCAATGCTGCAGATGCCACCAAACCCAGAGCGATAGCTTCCGTCTGCTAGATCACGCAGTTGTTACAGCCAACCTTGAAGACTTGTCCTTCAGGGGTATGACCACTACCATCTGGCTTTGGCACTGCGGTAGCGAGATGTTAACTACCTCGCCTGGTATACAGAAGTTCGTGGGTTCGATGCCGACTCTGACGCCTGCTGTATATTTGGAGTTTGCGTGTCTCTCTCCCCGTGGTTACGTGGATTTTTATCCGGGTCCTTGGGTTTTTCCCTCCACATTTAGAATCAACAACACGCGTTTAGAGTAAATTTCCACTTCGTTGAGCGTTTATGTGTGACCAGGTCGCTTCTGAAAAACAGCTTTATAGCTCAGTGGGCCTTACCTGGTAAAGTAGAAAAGTATATTCTTGGTTCTTTCGGTAAAGTCACGTAGATAGAATATATATATCACGATGTTTCGATCGCAACACAAGCAATCTCACCTGAAGACGATTGCTTGTGTTGCGATCAAAACGTCGTGATATTATATTACTTTATATCTACGTGGCTTTACCGAAAGACCCATCGAATATGTATTCCTGCAGTCACGAAAGCTTTAAGTCAAGTTTAGATCTTCCCTATAGTTTTGGTCGATGCATCGTTCGAGGATCGCTCTTACAGCCGCATCACCATCGTCTGACTAGGTCCTCCCCTCGGTCCCCACTCCAATGCCCGTCTCAGTGACCTGCCCTCCTCCACCCTGCACACCACGTGTGCCAACCATCACTACTCCCTCCGCTTTTCCAAGTGTGTGTTTAATTCTGCAGTACACACATCGCGTTACATATGGTGTTCTGCAACAACAATAAAAATTGTCTGGATGCAGTAATCTCAAGTATCAAGGTATGAGGAATGTAGAGAAAACTTTCGCAGAGTTCATCACCACGGACCTCATCCTACCCAGGACGTGCCTTGGGTGTCCTCACAACAAATGCATCTAGAGGTAACTCTTATGTCATGAGGAATTGCTTAATTAAATCATGAGGTAATTAAGAATGTCTTCAATATGTAATTGCTACGTACTCAGTCACAGTACTTAACCGCAGATGGAAAACCTCTCACTTGACGATGGCCAAAACCGTGAATGCCACCCCACACCTCGCCAACGGCCCAACTCAAGCGGCAACCAGCGCCTTGGCCGGGCCACACACGCGGCCCACACTCGGTCCACCACGCTCCCGGACCACGCTCAGACCACGCTCCCGGACCACACTCGGTCCACCACGCTCCCGGACCACGCTCAGACCACGCTCCCGGACCACACTCGGTCCACCATGCTCCCAGACCACCACGCTCTCGGACTACACGTTGCCCCAACAGAACTACCGCCGCCGGTCAGTGCGCGTATGAACGCCGCCCTCCTTCCTGCCGACACCGCTCCTCCTCTCCTCGCCCCGCGGCAGAGGAGGGGGGCGGACCTGTGTGGGTGTGAGTGAGTTTGCGGGAGGGGGGGTGTAGGCATGTATGTTGAACTTCTTTCGCTCTGTATGTAGCCATCCGTACGTGCGAGTGCGAGCGTGCGGTGGGGTGGGTGGGTGGACGCGTGTGGGTGCGAGCGAGGGTGGGGTGGGGTGGGTGGGTGGACGCGTGTGGGTGCGAGCGAGAGTGGGGTGGGTGGGTGGACGCGTGTGGGTGCGGGCGAGGGTGGGGGGCGGCACCTGGTGGTGCGGCGTGCGGGCCGTTGAGCGCCGCGTGCTGCAGGTACGCGTGGCAGCGCTCCTTGTGCTCCTCCAGGGAGCTGCGCTGCTTGTAGCTGCGCCCGCAGTAGGCACACTTGTGGGGCTTCCCGACTGCGGGCAGAGACGACGACAAAACTCAGCCGCATCTCTCGCTGCCGCACGGACGTTGAACTTCGTTTGCACCGTACGTAGCCAACCGCGCTAATCGGAGGTGCGATCCACTCCTGGATGAGGGCCTTAAACCGGCCACACAGGTCGTGGAGGTCAATCGATCGGAGTGGACCCACGCTCGCCAGTGCGGGTTGCTGACCGCGAGGAGCATAGACTCGTGACACACAATACAGCACGACAGAATCACAATCAGAATATTTATTTATGCAGGAGGAATCCGACGAGCTAGAAAGCTCTTTTTCACAAACTCTCAGGCCTCATTCAGACCACCGTCCTCCCGAAGAACCGAGCCGAGCGTGACCGTGTGAGCCCGTGCGGGCGGGCGGGCGACGCACTCGCGTGAGTCTTGAGGTGGCCGGCGAGCGCGTCGCGACGGCGGCACGCGTAGTTGCACATGTGGCACTTGAACGGCTTCTCCCCCGAGTGGAGCTTCACGTGGCGCAGCAGGTTCCCCTTCTGCGTGAACGACGCGCCGCACTGCACGCACTGGAACGGGCGCTCGCCTGCGTGGCATAAAACACGGCGGCGGCGGGAGCAGCAGCAGTGAGCCACAGACACTCCAGCACCGTCGCCACCATCGTCGTCGTTATCATCCAAACATCTACCAAGGCCCATTATCGTCATTATAATAATCATCATCCAATGACCTTTCATCATTATCCAGTGCCTATCATCAGCTTCGTAATAATCGTTACCAAACATCCATCAGCATCAGTTTAACAAGTAGGTTTTCGCGACCGATATCACCCATACTACATGTGTACTGTACTACTAACGAATTGGCGGGTGCTGTTGACGTGACAATCTTTACTAATTGGCTGTGTCGGATGGTGGCGGGTTTAAAGATACATTTATATATTTATGCGATCTAACCCAAAAAAACCTGTATTATGGATCCATCAGCATTTTCATCATCCAATTCCTATGAATGTTGAACTTCGTTCGCACCGTACGTAGCCAACTGTGCTAATGATGATAATCATTATTACCACAATCAGCAGCCAATTATTACCACCAACACCCTTCCTATGGCACAATGTTGGAACAATGAGCATTCTTCAGTGTACCACCGAACCCCTCCAGCGGCACTGCGAGTAAGACCGCATGTCAAGACGCTGCAGGCCAAGGGAGACAATGGGCATGTTGCGATTGTACAGAAAAGGATGATGTATATTTATTGTGTTTTTTCGAGAGAAATCTAAACGTTGCACTCCAGTGGGATATGACTTTACTTCTGAGATCTTTAAACATGTCTCTTATCCGTACACTAGGTGGCGCTGCACTCTCCCAAGCACCCTGCTATGAAAAGCAATGATGACGACCTGGGCATTCTCATACTCTTTACTCACGTCAATGATGATTCTGATATTGATGACGACTCACAAGTCATCTGATGATGATTACCATGACAATGATACCGACTCTTGTACTCATCGATCTTACAATGACAATTCCGAAAACGAAGGAAACGTTTCTTCTAACGACGATCTCAGATTGCGATGCTGATTGTGACGTTGATTCCTACGGGGCGATGACAATCAGCTTCACGATCAGCATCACGATCAGATTCAACGTCACTGCTCACCTTAAGAATATTTTTGTACTCATATGGAGCTGCTTAAATGCCTCGGCAGCTCAAAGCGCCTCGCATCACAACTCATCTCAAATATTCCGTGGGCACCCCGGGCAGGTGTCCCCCTGTGCGACACAAGGCGACGCAGCACTGGGCCTGGAAGTTGGCATTCGCCTGCCAGCCGGGCGGCAATGATTGCCGTGTGATCCCAATTGAGTAACTGCCAAACAATGGCGGATTCATTTCGAACGACGGCGTCACGGGATCATTAACGCCCACTGTGAAGCAGACTGCACATATTTACGGATAATACACCCACCGCAGTATTCACCGGGGTGGCTTGCCAAATTATAACCGCGAACCTCTGCAAACAAGCGGGGGAATGTTCTACGGCTGGGCCACGCCACAGCCCATTATTATTATTGTCACGGGAATCGGCTCGCTCGCACTCACCACACGCTCATTCACTCACCATTCGCTCTCACTCACTCACTTAACTTACACACCACATGCTAACTCACCCACCACATGCTCACTCACCCACCACTCGCTCGCATGCACACACACACGCACACACTCATTCACTCACCACTCAATTGCTCGCACACGCACAACTCGCTCAATCACTCACCACTCAATCGCTCGCTCGTTCGCACTCACCACTCGCTCCTACTCATTCACCACTCACTCCTACTCGCTCACGCACTCACTCACCCGTGTGGCTGCGCTTGTGCACCAGCAGCACGTTCGGCCCCACGCACACCAGCCCGCAGATGTCGCACGCCAGCTTGCCGCTCCCCGGTGTTTCGCCGCCACCACCGCCGATTCCGTCGAGGGCTCCGTGCTCCCCTCCCGCTGCTTCCCGCGCACCGCTCCACCGCGCGTCTCCCCCGTGTCGCGAGCCGAGTGCCGCCACGCCGGCGCCCGGCTCCAGCTCCTCGTCATCGCTTGGCGCCTCCACCTTGATGGTGTTCGCTAGGGGAGGGAAAGAGCCACAACGCGCACGGACATTGTAATGCACAGGCTCCCTCTGGAGTCTCAGGCAGGGCTGTGCAAGGGGGGGGGGGGGGGGTCCTGCATCACGAAAGGTCCCTTTAGCCCTCATGAGTTCGCTCTGCTTAGCGATGTGTCACGGTTATTGTGGCCTCCCATTACGACTCTACTGCCCCTCCCCCCAATCTGAATTCAGCACGAGTCAGGCCTGGGAAGTTTGGCCAATGTCGTGAATGAATGAGTGCCTTGCTTGTGGTAGAAATGCTGAGTGAGCCAAGGAAAACCCTCGCGTACCAGAGCATAAACACTCTATGGATGGCACGGAGAGATTCAACAATAGATTTCTGTACACACAATGTTCTGAAACTCCCTTCCCCCAGGCACCCGTGCCATCCACTCCCTGCCTCCGTGCACAGGGCAATAACGTGCAATAATGGTCAGGGAGGACGCTAACTGCTCTGGTCTCGCTCATCCACAGCACAGGCCGGTCTACCACTCCTCCCTCTAACCCCGTTCAAGTCCAGACTCGACACCTCCCTCTCGCCCTGTGCCCATGTCCGACTGCCGCTCCCAATAACATCCACGTGCCCGCCGGTTCGGGACGGCGTCTTGAGATGCGGTCGCAATTCAGACACCGCTGTATAAATCGACATTGTTAGTCTGTCGCACGACACAACGGCACGTGCGCGTGAACACGTAGCGGCACGTGTGTGTATAAACATTTAAGTCGAGCCCTTTGTACATACAGGGTGGCCCAAAAGTCAGGGCACATGGGTTATTTATTAATTTTCTAGATTGAAAACTCATTTCTCTACGAGTGCCTTTTGTGTTTAGGTTCTTGCGCTTCCTCCCCACCTCCGAACACGTGCGGCGACATTAAAACATTTTAACTGTTTATTATTTAAGTTAATGTCTAATTTATATCTACGTTTCTTCTTCCTGTGGAGGTCACCTCAAATATGAGACAACAAAACGTAACGGATGATGAATGTTCAAAGATTACACAGCTGGCACCTTAAAAAACAATTAATAATCCTGAATTAATATCAAAAGATAATTCACGCGTGCATTACCGTTAATTGAAGTCCGTATGACGATTTATTAGAACCTATTGAATAACCCTATGTAATTTGTTAAAATAAACAAATATAACAATCCCATGTGTTTGAATTTTGGGACAGTGCATAAACACGTAAGATAAGCGCAAAGTGGACAAAATAGAGTCACAGCGTGTACACAACAGCATACACAACAACATACACAACAGTTTACACAACATCATACACAACTGCTTACACAACAGTTTACACAGCAGTTTACACAACAGTACACAAGAGTATACACAACACAGTGCTGCGTGTGCATAAGGCGAGCAGCGCATGTCGAGACACGAGTGCACAGACGTGGACACCACATTTCTCAACATGCGGACTTTACACGAATGCGCTAACGCGAATAACGTTACGTGAATATGTGCTGCACACAGGAGCACACGGGCGTGCATTGATCAGGGTGGTGCTCCAGATGTCTCGTGACCCCCAAATTAATTGAACGGTAACATTGTCCTCCTTTGTTTATTCATTTCTGTTTTCACACCCATCGGTATACGAAAACATTTACGTTTAAGAGAATTAAATGGGGTCACAATACATCTGGACCACCCCGTACAAAGCGCATGTGGCGAGTGGCGAGGACACGATGGACGCATAACCGATGCACACATTTCCCCAGCGATCAGGGATACATACAAATGTATTTAAATATATATTTCACTATGAAATAACGACCAAACCCCCCCCCCCCCCCCCATACGTTTGCACTTTCCATCAAAATAAATCATAGGAGGCTATTTTCTAAAACCCATGAATAATCCTGCGTTAATTATAGTCATTAAAAAAAATGCTGTATGGCAACTGTGACGAGTGTAAAAGGCGTACTGTACACACACAAACCCCGAAGTTTGAAATTCCCAGAGAAACGCAAACAAATAAAAGGCAAAGCGGTCGCGCTCAACGCTGCCGCGCACCTTTGGACTCGGAGCGGCCCCGCACACAAAACCACCCCGCCGGCAAACAGCGCAGCGCCCCACGAGGAGGAGGAGGCGCCTGGGGCTGGGGCTCGGGCTCGCCGGCCGAGTGGCACAGGCGGGCGGTACAGGAACGACGCGGACACAAGCAGCCGACAGAGCCGTGTTCTTCAGAGGGGAGGGGGCCACCTTCGCCGATAAGACATCGTCAGTGTGAGGGCCGCCACACGCTTGAAACCATCGGGTTCGACACCAGGGGCCCGCCAGGGGCCCGCCAGTGGCCCGTGGGCCTTACAGTGAAGAGCGCTGGGACCAGTGGAACAGTGAAGAGCGCTGGGACCAGTGGAACAGTGAAGAGCACTGGGACCAGTGGAACAGTGAAGAGCGCTGGGACCAGCGGAACAGTGAAGAGCGCTGGGACCAGTGGAACAGTGAAGAGCACTGGGACCAGTGGAACAGTGAAGAGCGCTGGGACCAGCGGAACAGTGAAGAGCGCTGGGACCAGTGGAACAGTGAAGAGCGCTGGGACCAGTGGAACAGTGAAGAGCGCTGGGACCAGTGGAACAGTGAAGAGCACTGGGACCAGTGGAACAGTGAAGAGCACTGGGACCAGTGGAACAGTGAAGAGCGCTGGGACCAGTGGAACAGTGAAGAGCGCTGGGACCAGTGGAACAGTGAAGAGCACTGGGACCAGTGGAACAGTGAAGAGCGCTGGGACCAGTGGAACAGTGAAGAGCGCTGGGACCAGTGGAACAGTGAAGAGCGCTGGGACCAGTGGAACAGTGAAGAGCACTGGGACCAGTGGAACAGTGAAGAGCACTGGGACCAGTGGAACAGTGAAGAGCACTGGGACCAGCGGAACAGTGAAGAGCGCTGGGACCAGTGGAACAGTGAAGAGCGCTGGGACCAGTGGAACAGTGAAGAGCGCTGGGACCAGTGGAACAGTGAAGAGCACTGGGACCAGTGGAACAGTGAAGAGCGCTGGGACCAGTGGAACAGTGAAGAGCACTGGGACCAGTGGAACAGTGAAGAGCGCTGGGACCAGCGGAACAGTGAAGAGCGCTGGGACCAGTGGAACAGTGAAGAGTGCTGGGACCAGTGGAACAGTGAAGAGCGCTGGGACCAGTGGAACAGTGAAGAGCACTGGGACCAGTGGAACAGTGAAGAGCGCTGGGACCAGTGGAACAGTGAAGAGCGCTGGGACCAGTGGAACAGTGAAGAGCGCTGGGACCAATGGAACAGTGAAGAGCGCTGGGACCAGTGGAACAGTGAAGAGCGCTGGGACCAGTAGAACAGTGAAGAGCGCTGGGAACAGTGAAGAGCGCTGGGACCAGTGGAACAGTGAAGAGCGCTGGGACCAGTGGAACAATGAAGAGCGCTGGGACCAGTAGAACAGTGAAGAGCGCTGGGAACAGTGAAGAGCGCTGGGACCAGTGGAACAGTGAAGAGCGCTGGGACCAGTGGAACAGTGAAGAGCGCTGGGACCAGTAGAACAGTGAAGAGCGCTGGGAACAGTGAAGAGCGCTGGGACCAGTGGAACAGTGAAGAGCGCTGGGACCAGTGGAACAGTGAAGAGCGCTGGGACCAGTGGAACAATGAAGAGCACTGGGAACAGTGAAGAGCGCTGGGAACAGTGGAACAGTGAAGAGCGCTGGGACCAGCGGAACAGTGAAGAGCGCTGGGAACAGTGAAGAGCGCTGGGACCAGTGGAACAGTGAAGAGCGCTGGGACCAGTGGAACAGTGAAGAGCGCTGGGACCAGTGGAACAGTGAAGAGCGCTGGGACCAGCGGAACAGTGAAGAGCGCTGGGACCAGTGGAACAGTGAAGAGCGCTGGGAACAGTGGAACAGTGAAGAGCGCTGGGACCAGTGGAACAGTGAAAAGCGCTGGGACCAGTGGAACAGTGAAGAGCGCTGGGAACAGTGGAACAGTGAAGAGCGCTGGGACCAGTGGAACAGTGAAGAGCGCTGGGAGTGAAGAGCGCTGGGACCAGTGGAACAGTGAAGAGCGCTGGGACCAGTGGAACAGTGAAAAGCGCTGGGACCAGTGGAACAGTGAAGAGCGCTGGGACCAGTGGAACAGTGAAGAGCGCTGGGACCAGTGGAACAGTGAAGAGCGCTGGGACCAGTGGAACAGTGAAGAGCGCTGGGACCAGTGGAACAGTAGAGAGTGCTGGGACCAGTGGAACAGTGAAGAGCGCTGGGACCAGTGGAACAGTGAAGAGTGCTGGGACCAGTGGAACAGTGAAGAGCGCTGGGACCAGTGGAACAGTGAAGAGTGCTGGGACCAGTGGAACAGTGAAGAGCGCTGGGACCAGTGGAACAGTGAAGAGCACTGGGACCAGCGGAACAGTGAAGAGCACTGGGACCAGCGGAACAGTGAAGAGCGCTGGGACCAGTGGAACAGTGAAGAGCGCTGGGACCAGTGGAACAGTGAAGAGCACTGGGACCAGTGGAACAGTGAAGAGCGCTGGGACCAGTGGAACAGTGAAGAGCGCTGGGACCAGTGGAACAGTGAAGAGCGCTGGGACCAGTGGAACAGTGAAGAGCGCTGGGACCAGTGGAACAGTGAAGAGCGCTGGGACCAGTGGAACAGTGAAGAGCGCTGGGAACAGCGGAACAATGAAGAGTGCTCGCATAATAACAGAACAATGAAAAGAGCTGGTATAACAGCGGAACAATGAAGAGAGCTGGTATAACAGCAGAACAATGAAGAGAGCTGGTATAACAGCAGAACAATGAAGAGCACTGGTATAACAGCAGAACAATGAAGAGAGCTGGGAACAGCGGAACAAATCCGCTGGCTGGACCCGCACGGAGCTCTCGGGAGTTTACGGGAAAACAAAAATGAATCTCCGCCACGGAGAAGGCACGGGGGGGGGGGGGGGGGTAAAGGACCTCTGAGTGGCTGAACACTGTACTCTGGTCAGGTGGCACATGAGCAGAATGCCCAACTT